TTCCGCCGTGGCAACACTTATTAATAAAGCAGTAACGTAACGTAAGATATAAGGCGCAAATACGTAACGTAGGCAATAAAGGGAACTTTTACACCGAGAAAACTAACAGCATATAGTACTCACCGTCTATAACGTTATGTCCCTCGGTGACTTCGATATCACATTGTATTAACTTCTTTAATAAGCTGCAGACATATTAGCAAACTCCATCCTGCAGGCCAGCCCGGATCACTTAAAGCGGGGGAAACCGAGACCCGAGAGTCAGACAAAAACAGAACACGGCTTCACATGTAAAAATGAGACTGAAAATATATCTTTAATACATTCTTACCTGAAAAGTGTGGACTCCAAAATAGACTTTTCTTTGAGAAGCGTGCGAAGTTCTGTGTAAACAGCCAGCATACTCGACGAACCGCCTCAGTAACAAACACTACTATAACGTCTCAACAAGCCAAATTCTTAAAGAGACAGCAACACCACCTGTATGAAGATGCTGTCACTCTGCATGGTTCTTATTCTACATCCCATAAACTATAGGGTCTTAAACAGTAAGCAAAAACCAGTATTTACGTTTTTAATGATTAAAATTACATTCATTATAAATTTAATTATTAACATTTTTGAGAAAAAAATTAATTTAAATACATGAAAAAAATTAATTATTAAAATATTTAATTCAATCAATTTATTTATTTATTATATTTTTAAATTATGTATTTTAGTATTAATGTTTAGTATTAATACATTTAAATTAGTGTAATATAGTGTCTTGGTCTTATCATGAGCTGAGGGTACAATTTTGTTCCTATAGGGAAACAAAATATATAATTGTACCTTTAAAGGTGCCAAATTGGTCCTTTACGGTACAATTTTGTATCCAAATGTGCTATAAAAGGTACAAAAATGTACCTTTCAAACCTAAATCTGGACATTTGTACCTTTATAGCCCATTTGGGTACAAAATTGTACCCTAAGGACCAATATAGGACCTTTAAAGGTACAATTTTATATTTTGTTCCCTCTAGGAACAAAATTGTACCCTCATTGTACCTTTTTTTCTGAGAGTGTATATATATATATATATACCTATTTATTTTGTCGAAATTGCAGCATAGTTTATAAAGCATTATAATAATGTAAAAAAAATTATGTCCTTCATATCGGTGTGAAGGTACATTGGAGTCACAGGTCGGTATGTACCTCAGTTTTGGCGTCACGGTTTGGTATAACAGAACTACCAAAATACAAATTAAACACAATGGTTAAAAATAAAACTTTATAATCAGGAAACTCAAAATATATTTGGGAGCATTGATGCGAGTGCGTAAAATTGATGGCTTGCAACCGGTTTTCACTGCAAAATGTTCATTGCGTGTGCAAATTTAGGAGACATTCATGCAGAATGCATCTTAGCAACGAAAACTCTCAGGTAAAGTTTGAAACAGTTGTCATTTCAACTTGTTGCAGTAAACAAAGCCCGCAGTGCTTGCCCAGCCTTCAATCTCTTCTGATTGGTCCGCTGCTTTAGAACTAAACATGAACGGTTTGGTTAATATCATCTGTCAATCACTCAGTTGATGCCTTTTCTCAGATGACAGGGAGAGCTACAACCGCAAACATGTAAATCGCTGAAGATGAGAGAATGAAAACAACGCTGACAGATTTTGTTTTAGAAACCACCTAAAATTACACATAATGGCACATCTTATTAGTGATCGTTTGGTGAATGTTAATCCACTGTTTACACTTTTCAAAGAGTGGATAAAAGACTTCCATTGGGGTAAAGTCCGCTATGAAAATGACTATAGCATTCACCATAAAGCCAGTGTGACAGAGTTTGCGGGTAACAGCGTTTGCCAGATCTACACATTTTAATGCACGACAGCTTCTGTTTATTCCTTTATTTAATTGTCAGGATGCTGTCAGCTGTGCATGTGGCAGCTGTATGTAAAATGTAACATCACGTACACCATCGCAAAAGGGCTTACATTGACTAAGATGAAACTAATTTTG